TATTTGTTAGGAATTCCGGCATGTACGTCGAACTTCAAGTAAAATTTAAAATATTTTATTAATTTTTTATTAAATATGTATATTTTATGTAATTATTCAGAAATGTGCATTCATTATGCAAAAATATTTTTTTTGTAGTTATTTTTTGTTCAAATTTGGACGAAATGACATATTATTAAATAACGGAGAATATTGATTTAAGTGATCTAGTTGTACTTTAAAAATATTAATCGTGGGTATGTATACTTGAAACTTGTATTATTAAATTTTATACGCTCAATGACTTTTCAAATACATTTTTTTGTCAAAAATTGATTTAACCCACTGTAGTACTAATAGTAAAATAAATAACTTGAATCAAAATAACATTATCAAATATACTAAAATTACCAAGTAATATTATAGGCTGACGACCGTCTTCGCTCGGAATCGTTTTTCGTATGTTATGATTTTATATCATTGCATTAAAATGTAACACCACCCAAAACACTGACCCACTTAATACCTACCGTGCAGCAGAGCGACATCCAATTACTGACTTTTTATTATTTATAGATTTTTTTTTTTCTGATTTTTTGGCTAGAATTTTTTATTTTTTTTAATTTTTGAATAAATATTTTAGCTTAAATTTAAGTTTCTTAAACGCTTATTTGAATGCTCATAATGATGATTTCAAGTGATATAGGGTCCGAGCCCTGACTATAACCAATCACGCCACTATTTCGATATTTGTTTCAGATACATCAAAATGTCTAAAATAAATATTATTGCACCTATTGGTTTATCTCGTTAAGTGGTACAACAATTATTCAAAGGTACACGAAAACATGCTTTTATGTATAACTATAATTTAAAAAAATCAGAATTTGAATAAATCTATTATTAGGGAAAAAGGGGGTAGCGTCGTTGGCAAATCGCCCTATGTATAACGTACATCTATTATGCTAACAATAATTATTGAATATTGAAGTACATACCTGACATTTCAATGTCCATGTTAAAAAATTGGTGATCTTAAATTTTAAAATGAACAAAATATTAAGTGCATAATTGTATTACAACAACGTCCACGAGTAACTAATCAGTACTGGTCGTGCGAAAAATAATCAGACTTTTCACGTACAGGTTATTATGTCAGGATACCAAAATAAATTACTACGGTGCATTGTAGATTGGTTTATAGATAACGTTTTAAAGATATTTGTAATACGCTAATAACATTAAAAGAAAATTGATGTATATTTCAATTTTTGTAGTCGTGATAATATAATTAATTGGCCTCATGTATGAGTAACTGAAAATCACTGCACACTCCACAGCATATTTTCCGATCAGAATACAACAATTATAACAACTGTAACACGATTATAGACGGATATTTTTTTAATCAACCTGACTATTGTTGACTAAAGAGAAAAATGGGAGGAAGTGGGTACCGCTCCACTTTACATAAGGTTTATCATAAAATCTCTACTGACCGTAAACCTATAGGCAGTATAAGGCTTTCAAGTTTTTTGAGAGAAAAATTTTTT